TCGGGGCAATCCATTGTCCCATCACACTGCGCGTTCTGTTTCCTGAAGCAAATATCATTGCCACACTTAAAAGTCCTCTTGTTACATGGAATGCCTAAAAATGAACAAAAGAGGAAAGAGTTTTTCCTGCCCAGAAACATACTTGAGGGAATGACACTCAACTCCGTCCTCCATGGATGGGGTAGCCGTGGCATCAGTGTTCACTGCTCTGGGAAACATGGCAGAGGCGATGAAGCAAGCTCACGGTGACCAGTCCCCCCACCCCAGCAGAGCCATCGGAAGGCGGGCAGGCAGGCGCACCTGTTGAGAACCAATCCGATGGCAGGTGCAAAGCAGTTGGCCCTATTGCTTGCTGTAGGCCGTGGTCTCTGTGCTATTAATTATTTTGTCTTGTTCTCCAAGAAAATGTTGAGCAAAGACCAATACCATATTCAGTCCTTTCATATCAGTACGGGGAAAATGGGCAGGCTTTGTGAATCACAGCACATTTGTTCACAACTCTAGTGCTGTGTGCTTCTGCAGCAGCTAGAATAGAACATGCCCCATCAGGGTACCTGGTAAGTCCTGCTAGATCACGTCCTCGGCATCCTCTACTCTCAAGCAGCATTAAAAGCAAATAAGCAATGAAAAGCTTCCAGTATTTACACGGACACACACACACACGTGTGCACACACTCAACACACACACTCAACTCAAACAGTGACCAACTGTCCCGTTTTGCCTGGGGCCAAGAGGATTCCAGGGAACTGGGATTTTCAGTGCTAAAACTGGGTAAGTCTTGGGAAAACTGGGGCAAGTCAGTTGCCCTAACCCCCCAGAGGTATTTCAGTTCCGACTTAGCAGAGTGTTCTGGAAGAAGAGCAGAGTGCAGAGGACTCTCCCTCACTTTGAGTGCAGTTCTGCTCATCCTGGCCATCCTCACAGTCCCTGAAGCCGTCACAGACCAGAGGGCCATGCTGTCCAAGAGAGCTGGCGTTGCAGGCAGGCTTAAGAGTCACTAGAATGAGAACAGACAGAAAGCTCATGAGCCTGAGACATCAGCTGGCTTCTGAGAGCCAGCAGGGCCCCTCTAATGGTGCACATGGTTAAGATGACTTACATAAAATAAAAAGTGTGTTTTCCTCAAACCTGACACTTGCGTGAGAAAAGCAGAGGTAGAAACTTTGCTGTAATTCCTAGTGCTCTGAGTTTGTCAGCTCTGATTTTTGCTTTTGCCTAAGTGTGTTCAACCCTGGCAATTTGTTTACTTAATCACGATTAAATGCATCGTGAGATTTTCTTTTAAGGAAAATAAAAATCATAGGCTGTTATCGAGATTGAACTTGTCTGGGGTGCCTGAGTGACTCAAGTCAGTTCAGCTCTAACTCTTGATTTCGGCTCAGGTCATTGTCTCAGCATGTGGAGCCTGCTTAAGATTCTCTCTCCTCTCTCTCTCTCTTCCAAAAAAAAAAATTAAATAATTAAATACATAAAATTGAACTTGTCTGCCTTCCTAAACAAAATGGGAGTGTCCTTACATTGAAGATTTTGTCTTATTCATCTTTGTACCTCAGGCCCCTGACTACATAGTAGGTGCTCATTAAAGTTTTGTTGAATAGATTAACAGCTATGAGATCTTAAAGGACAATGGGCTTGTGATCTGCGTATAAGGAAAACGCTCTTTAAAATGATTTTGTCCTGGGTGATCCATTTCCTGAACTAAGAAACACCATTGTAAATTATCACAAGTTTTCTTCTTTGGAATATTTTCATGAATTGCCTTTGGACAAGGGACAGGTGCAGTAAATTAGCAAGCACTCTTGGAAGGTATGATTCCTTAGACATTTCTGGTTTTGTGAAAAGTGATCATTTTTGTTATCTGCTCTCGTGTTTTCAGTGGCATCTCTTGTTAGGGGTGTGGGGTAGCTGTGGAGGACATGGCTGCCCGGAGATTCTCATTGAGCTTCCGGGTGTACCTGGCTGACTCCTAGAGAATAATTTTCAAAATGGCACAATGAGAAATAATGATTACTAAAAACAGCCCTTCTTATTTTTTTTTTAAAGATTTTATTTATTTATTTGACAGAGAGAGACACAGCAAGAGAGGGAACACAAGCAGGGGGAGTGGGAGAGGGAGAAGCAGGCTCCCCGCAGAGCAGGGATCCCGATGCGGGACTCGATCCCAGGACCCTGGGATCATGACCTGAGCCGAAGGCAGACGCTTAACGACTGAGCCACCCAGGTGCCCCAAAACAGCCCTTCTTATAAAGTAACAATAATCACTTCTGTTTGGAGCATCATAGCAGGGAATGATAATAATGTAAAAAACACCAGCAACCTCACTCACTATATAACGGCCAGCATTTATTTTCTTAAGCAATAGAAAACCCTATAGATTGAAAAGGTCAGTGAGCCATAAGTTAAGAGAATTTGATTTTGTTTTGTCAAAAAAAAAAAGGTATAGAGTCATAGGTTATTTTTCATGAATATAAGTTTTTCATAGTTATATTAACTCTACTATCTCTCCAAGAATATGAAAGAAATTAAATAGCTTCACCATTGCAATTGTATTTGAATTAAAATCTGGATCTTTAGGAAAAAGTGTTGCCAATGGTGTCATACGGTCTGGTGAACTATCCTCCCCATGTTACACCCCGAAACTGGAGGTGGATTCAGGAATGATGTGCAAATAGTAACAAAAAACCAAGAGAGAGAACCTCTGTCCAAAATAGGAATGTCCAATACCCTGCCCCTTAGTCATTGCAGGTGTGACGTTGTTGCAAACTATACAGGTTATAATAGTAATAATTCTCTCCTTCACAACACCTGTGCTCCATGAATGAATGTGCTGAGTTGACTCCTCTGCAGATTCTGAGCTACTCTCTAGATAAAAGATCTGTGCTTTGAAAGAGGATTGTTAGTTGAAGATTGTGGTTCAATGAATTGCTGGCCGCAGATCCTCACTCCCTGTGGTAGTATTATACACCTCCACCCTCGCCATGGCCCCAAAGTGTGCAGGATAAGCTTCCTGCCCCTTGACTATGGCCTTAGCTCTAGGACTCACTTTGACTGATGGAATATGACGTAAGTGATGGTGTACTGGTTCCAAGCCCAAAACTTACGAGGAACCATGTGGTTTTGCTCACTCCTCTTTTGCTTCTACCACTGCCATGGCCAGCCCACTAGTTCAATGAGAAAAAGAGCCATGAGCAGTAGATCTGACACCAACCTGGAAAGAACCAAACTTAGGAGGACCTACTGCTTAAAGCAGAGCCACCCAGCTGGGGCCGGTCTAGATCAGTCCTATCTCAACAACCCATGGATGCGTGGTCCAGAATAAATGATTGTTGTCAGCCACTGAGTTTGGGAGTAACTTGCTATGCAGCAATAGATAACAGCTACAAAGACCCAGGATATACACCAGCAGCAACAATGGCCCTGAGAAGTTACTTATTCATAAGAAAGTCATAGTACAACTTGAATACCCACCACAGAAAAGTTCGTCACTTTCATCAAAGCAGTCATTAACTCCATCACATCGCTGGGCCTGAGGGACACACAAGCCAGAGGAGCATCTAAAAGATCCAACAGGACAGGCTAGAGACAATAAAACAGAGGAAGCCTTGTGTGAGTCTCTCAACGTCATCAGACCACATGAACAAAGAACTATGAAGTACTAGGTGGTTAAGGAATTGGCAATGTAGCGATAGTAATTATACACTTTTTCCATCAAATCAAGCTATAGGTGATAACTGAAAGACAAAAAAGATGAATTTAGGAGAGCAGAGGAAAGTAAACTAATCCACCAGAGGCTCTGAGTGGACACTGGATCCAGGTCACGTGTATAATCAAACTTCTACTATCTCCATTTTTCTCTCAGCAATCCGGCTTTGTCATTGACTCGGAGAAAGCAAAAGCTGGAATATGCTTTAGAGAGTCCAGCAGTCTTAGTGTGAAGTCTTTAGACTCCCCAGGGAATTACAAATGGCCTTCTGGTGTCTCTGAATCCTATATGATCAGATGCACTGTTCTGAGGAGTCTGTGCTTTTAATTACATTATCAAGTGATCTCTGTCCCCAAATACATTAGTAACTACTGATCTTAGACACTTGGGCCTAGAGAGATGAGTGACTGGCCTCAAAACTCAGGACTCCTGCCTTCTACCTCCCAGTCCACCTCAATCAGGCTACTCATCAAAGATCCATTCCCTGCCTGATCTTGAATCATAAATTCTGGGCTTATAGCTAAATATATTAGAAATAATAAATCCTCCTTTGTTGCTATGGTCTGAATGTTGGTGGGCCCCACAAATTCATATGTTGAAATCTTAGTGCCCAATGTGATGATATTAGGAAGAAGGGCTTTCGGGAGGGAATTAAGTGATGAAGGCAGAGGCCTCATGAATAAGATCGATGCCTTTATAAAAGAGGCCTCGCAGAGCTCCCTCACCCTCTTCCACTACATGAGGATACAAGAAGTCTACAACCCAGAGAGAGCCCTCAGCTGACCATGCTGGCATCCTGATCTCAGACGTCCAGCCTCCAAAACTGTGAGAAATAAATTTCTGTTCTTTATAAGCTACGCAGTCTGTGGTATTTTGTTAGAGTAGCCGGAACAGACTAAGACATTCCCCTTGTGCACAAGAATGGCGGGAACGCATGGTCAGGTCTTCTACTATCTCATTGGCACACATGGAGAGGGTAGGTTTCTAGAAAATATTCATGGTTTGAAAAAAACAATTGAAAATAAGATGGCTCACTATTTACCTGCTATTCTTGCTGGAAATGGTAATATTCTGCTAGTGAGAAGTGTAATATTCCAGATCCAGAAGCGGGTATATTGGCAAAGAAGGAAGGCTCTAAATGAGCTTTCTCTCAAGTCTCTCAAGTGGTTAACCCTTACTTTTTCCCTTTTAAAACGTGTTGAGAATTTCCTGAGGCAATATCTACTCTCTCCAGCCCTAAAGACTTCCCTTAAACACTGCTGACCACTTCCTGGCCACTGTCCCCATGGTTCTTGGTGTGGCAGCTCTCCCTGTGGGTCATGGGCTAAAGTGAGTCACAACGGTTGCTTTCTGATCCACCAAATGTTGGTATAAACATCATATGTACAAAGATTTATGAGTAGCAAGAACAAGAAATCAAGAAATGGTTTTGTCCCATATTTCAGGAATAAGGTAAGAAATTATTTTTCAATTGTACCAAATAATTATATTATTTCTTCTATAGTTTAAACTATAGCCATAATAAATACATAATTTTTGCCTTATTTATTATATATTTTGTTTGTATTACATATATTTATATTTATTTACATATTAGTAGTAAATAGCAGAAATAAATCCGTTTTTATTCCTTAATTTCTCAAGGTTTAGAGTTACAAAGTATTAGGCTCTGTTTAACCATTTATTAGGGTTTTCTAAAGAGCTAATTCCAGGCTTACGTTGACTAATGTTGTAACTTCCATATTCCACCAAAAGTGGCTTGTCGGAAAGCTTTGAACTGCACTGCAGCTCAATGTGAGCGAGCGGACTAGGCACTCGGAAAACCGTCTGGTGATCCATGTAGGAGCCACAGTACCTGAGGAGGCGAGAGTCAGGGAAGAGACATGGATGAGGGTCTGTCAACTGCATCCCCATTGACAGTGAACGCACTGATACTTTGGTACTTTGGGCCTCATAAAATGAGATGCTTACGGCAGAGCTAATGGTAGTTCTCCAATCTATGCTAAGTGACTGTGACTGAGTAACTTCGGTCCCCTTGATTTTCTACTCTGCTAAATACAATAGCACTGCTATTGACTGTTACCTAGTGTTTTCCTCGCTAATACTTATTATCAGAAGAACTATGGGTCCTCTCTTTTTTTCTGCGTAAATAACGATGTAACAACAAGAAATGCCTGCTTTTGCCCACAAACGTCGCCATGGAGCAGAGTAGAATCCATGAGCTCAGGATGAAAATATGCAAAGAATCCCAGCAATACTTAAAGTAAAACACAACAATGTTTTTTCAAACTCAATTGAAAACCGATGTGTACTTTGGGGCTTGTCCTTGGTAGAATTTCAAAATAGTAGTGTCTGTCTGCAATATTTCCTTACCTTGATTTTTCTTATTTCTTGTACCTAAGAGGAAATGCCCCTCCTGTTAGTAATTCTCATTATATGAGCACTGTGGTTAGTAGAACATGAAATATTACTATGCTGGGGGCCCATGGTAAGTTAGGTCTCTGCCCTGTGTAGGCAAAGCTCTTCCCAGGGTGAACCCTACAAAGTCTCAAAGGGAAACAGCAAACAGGCAGGTTGAGGAGGGACCTCCTCCACCGGAATCTGTGAATGCCCATCACTCCTCACCCCCATGGCCCTTGGGAACCACGAAAGTTCCATGGGTCAGACACCAGCATTCTATGGGAGGACCCCAGAGGTGGTGGTTTTAAGGTTCAAAGAAGGAAAGTGTTCACATATATTTCAGGAGGACTCTTTTGCAGCTGGGCTAAAGTTCAGGCCCTGATTGGTTGATAGACCAGCTCCTGGGACAGAGGAAGAGATAGCAGCTACAGGTAGGTGGCCACTTGGTGAAGTGGAGCCAGGCTCTGAGAGACACCTGGAATCCATGTTAACCTTTTGGGGCCAGGATCCAGTCAATCATCTTGGGATCAGAATCCTGTTCTGAAAACATAGTCCTTATCATTTGTATCTTGTAGTGATTTTATTTGTGCTCTCCATTAACACTTACTAGAGCTTTCTTGCGAAGATGGATCTTACTGGGATGTTAAGGAGGAGTCAAGAAAAAAAGGAACCTTTGAATCCATGCTTGGGCTGGAGTTTGAAGACAACAGTAAGGAATGGGGGCATAGTGGCATCTAATGGAACAAAAGTTAAAAAAAAAAAAGTGAGAAATTGGAGAAACCAGCAAGAGTCGGTTTACAGCTACAGACACGTGACAGGTAAGACAACCGAGAAGTTAAGTAGGGGAAGTAATGAGTTAAAGTTCAAAATAGTGAGAAAGTAGAAGCAGAATTAGGACAAAAGTCTGTCTGGTACTAAACCCTAGAGCCTTCTAAGGCACCAACAGCTTTTCCTTCAGGAACTCTGCTCTGCAAAACTTGCTAGGAAGGACATCCATTTCTTCAGGGTTCATAGGCTGCATTCTAGCTGCTCTGAGCATGCACACCCCATCCCCACCTTCTCTGAATTCAGGAGCACTAACTAGGCTTCTTGGCGTCAGCATTACCTTTTCCTACTTCCCTGTTACAAGCCCAGCACCTTTAGGCAACTTTTCAGCAAGGTGTCAGAAATTAGTTCAATTAGAGCCTTTCCTTTTTAGATGAAGAGAACTGATAATGGGAAAGGCTGGCATTTCAAATCCTAAGGGTGTTACTAGCATCAAAAGAATCTGCTAGGATTTCAGCCAGCCCGCCAGACAAAGGGAAGAGTTGGTCCTTCCAAGAAAGTATTTAGGGCAGAGAGCTGTCCTGGTCTTGAATGCTTGGGAGAAGATCTTGCTCTTACTTTGGCAGCAACACTCCGTGGGTGTGGGTGGTGGGGATTGTTACTTAGAACAACAGCAACAACAACAAAATAGTATCACATTTTACAAAAGAATTGTAAAGATTTGTTTTCTGGACCTCTAATTAAATATCAGAAAATAGAATCCTTAAAACTTGGAGAGGGAGCACATTCTATAGTATTTATCCATCCAATGTCATTTCCAAAGCAATCTTTTTTTTTTTAGTATAGTTGACATGTGATGTTACATTAATTTCAGGTATACAAAATAGTGATTCAACAACTCTATCCAAAACAATCTTATTAATTGTAATAATGGCTAATATTTTTTTGGTGTGTAGTAGGCATCATCTCATTGAATGCCTACCAAAAAATCCCACCTTATTAAGTAGGAATTATTAGCTCATTTGCAGACTGAAAATCGAAGAGGTTAAATAATTTGTCCCAGTAAATATAGCTACTAAATACCAGAGCTGGAATCTGAACGCAGGTATTCTGCCTCCTACATAATAGACCCTGATTCAAAAATATTCCCAAAAGGAGTACAAGTCTTAATAATGGATCCAAGAATGCTCTTAAATCAGATAGGATCTAGTCCAGTGAAGACAGAACCAGTGACTATTTTAGCACGTAATCTGAGAGTCTAAAGAAAATGAAAGAAGGTCATTCAGGAAAATCATTTAGAAAAGGAAGCTCTCATTCATGGATCAGCAATGAGCACAGAATTAGCAGGCAAGTCCCTTAGGCTAACTTCACAAAAAATCTTACCTGAAAGTAAACTTAGAAGTTACTCTGCTGCAGCAACAGGACATTCTATATTTTTTAATTCAAGATCTATTATGACTTCAGAAGCAAATAAGCAATAACAACAACTAAAGGACAAATGAAACGGTGAGAGTGAGGAGCTCCTAGGTCAGTTCAGGAAGCCCAGTCATCTAGATTTCTCTGATCAGCCTCAACCCGGTCCCAGCCTCAGGATAGAGCCGGGCCAAACCAGCCTCTCCTCCCGCAAAGAACTGGCTAATGGTTTCTACCTTTCCTATCACCGGGACTCCTAGTCACTATTTCCTCCAGGACTCCATGGTTTGAAAGACTTCATCTGCCTAGCTGTTTTTTGTAAAGTGTAGAGTTTACACACCCATGGCCCAGCAGCAAAGAGCAGTGGGCCAGCAAGGACTTGGGAGCCCTAAGACATGGATTTGAAACCTGGCTTAATCACATATGCACTGAGTGACCTTGAGCAAGTTCTTTAACCCCTGTACCCTTCGATTTCCCTATCTGTAAATAGTAAAGTGCAAACTCTTTGGGGACAAGGAATCCAGGGTTTTGAACCTCTGGGTCAGGCCTTTCATCAGATTCCTTACATCTGGAACCCACTTACATGTGCTCATTAATTTCCCACCATCCATGGTCACAGCCTTTCACACTCTTCTTGGTTATTGAATAGTTATGGAATTTCAGTGCTATGCCAAGGGTTGATAAGGAAGTCTGTGAAAAACAAACATAAGTCAGAAAAATGTTTCAGTTGAAGGACATGTTTCAGGCTGATTCCTCACTCAGAACTCATTCCCTTGACTTGCTGTCCTCGGGGCATTTTATTTTTTGTGCCCTATGGCCTTTGGTGGGGTAGACCCGACCCCCCTGACTCAACAAACCAGAATGAGAAGAGCATAATAGAGAGGGAAGTGGGTGGCCCAGTGCTCAGGGAGCGGCTCTTAGGCCCCAGTTTCAGTGTGCTGGGTGACATGGGACACATTAGATTATCTTTAGATGTCGGTGTCCTCCTTATAAATTAGCTTGAAAACACCCCCTTGTTAATGAGTGCACACAGTTTCCTCCTTCGGTGACAATAACGACATAGTTTATTTAAAGCACGATTCAGATTATTTAGATAATGAATCAGCATCCTCTTCATATGCAACCTGGGTATTCCTGAAGGCAGTCACTGAGTCACTCCTGGGTCTGTTCAGACAGGATCAAACAAGAGAAGAGGCTGTCCATAGAGCACACACCCTCTCACATGGGTGTATGACACTCACACACACACACAGAGCTGACCTTTTTACAACATTGTATGACATACACATACATTATGTTTGTTATGTCATGATTTTAGTTTTAATTTTCACTTTGACCCAGGAATTACTTAGAGAGAGTTTTCACATTTCCAGGGAGTGGAATTTTTGTTCACCCACTCTGAAGTTTTCTAATTCTATACTAATTAGATAAGAAATTATTTGTTGCCTATATTGCTTTTTAATGTTTTTATTTATTAAGGATTTTGATGTGATCGAATTTGTGAATGCTCCAAGGGTGAAAGAAAAGAGTAATGTATGGATGTATGTATATACGTAGGTATATAGCCAAACTCATTATTTGTGTGGTTCAATATCCTTCCTAGCTGTAGTTATTGTCCCCACTACCTCTGTCAGGAACCAACAGAAAGGAACTAAAATCTCATAGTTAAGCATCGTCCATTTCTCTCTGTATTTCCTATAGATTTTGATTTATGAGTATTAATGTTAGGTCCTTTGGTACATAAATAATTATCACAGACCTTCACGTGGATTGCCCTCTTCATCATTATAGATCACCTTCCATTTCTCACCCAATGTTGTTGCCCTAATGTTGACTTCCACGTTGTCTGGCGCTAAGGTTCTGATGCCTAGTTTCTTTTTGTTTACAATGTCGATATGACATTGCCCACCCTTTTACTTTCAGCTTTATTAAATCACTTTTTATTCTGCCATCTTTTGTAAATAATATACAATTAAGTTATAGGTAACACTTTGTGATTCAATCCTGTTGTCTTTTTCTTTTAAGAGATGGATTTTACCCATTGACTTTTATTACTCTGATATTTGGTTTTTTAGAGATGTCATCATATTTGATGTTACAATTTCTTTGCTGTGTGCATGTACTTCTTTCTAACATGTACTTAAATATAGTAGCCCTCCTCCCTCAACGTATCTTCGAGAGGCTCTTTATGTCTCTCATTTAAACATCACAACAACACAGTTAGGAAGGTAGTATGAGTCATATTTTATAGAAGAAATCAAAACTAACCAAAAATAAGTGGAATGCCCAAGGTTGCCCTGCATTTCCCTGAAGGCCACATGGTGGTCTTTCCAGGTGCCACAGTGTGTCATGGCGCCTGGAAATGGACAGTGAGGGCTCAAGAGGAAAGGGATTGTCTTTTTTTTCTTTTTTAAGATTTTATTTCTTTATTTGACAGAGAGAAAGATAGCGAGAGCAGGAACACAAGCAGGGGGAGTGGGAGAGGGAGAAGCAGGCTTCCCGCCGAGCAGGGAGCCCGATGCCGGGCTCGATCCCAGGACCCTGGGATCATGACCTGAGCCGAAGGCAGATGCTTAACGACTGAGCCACCCAGGTACCCCAGGAACAGGATTGTCTTATGTTCAATAAAAACCAAGGGTTCCTGAGGGCACACATTAATGTTTTCCCCAGTCTTGTTATCTGATTTTTTTCTTCAAATTAAAAAAAAGAAGAAGAAAAGATGCAAACTGATAGTAAATATCTTGAGTAACCACTGTAATTTTATACCGTAAGGACATACTCCAATGCAATTCTTCATAAGAAGCTTACATAGGCATTTTCACTGTGTTCCATCACTCCAAAGTAGAATAGATTTAAATGCATCACCACCCCCCAATCTACAAATCTTCTTCCCAGTGAGAAGAATTAAGTCCCCTTGCACACCAGATTCTACTGACACAGATTTGCACACAAATCTCCATTTGTGGCCAGATTGGCCAGGAGGCACTACTGATATTAGCCAGCTTGACCCCAGTGAGGTCATGAGGTGCAGTTCCACAAAGCATTGTGAGCTATTTTGTTCAACAAATGGACAAAAATGAAAAACCACTAAGTATGCTATTTCCTTCTACGTCCTGTGTTCTCTGTTCCCACTGCCCAATCCCTGCCTTTGCTTTGGGAACTTTTACCAAGTAAGGGGAGGATTTCTCCTGATCTGGACCCCCTGTATTGAAATATTTCTCTAGTCAGTGGTAGCAACAGGACGCAGAACCCGCTGCACCGTTTCCAACCGGCACTGGAAACTTCAGTGGTTACATGTTTGCCACAGAAGCAGGGAAGAGGGATTCCTCTCTGGGGAATCCCACCTTTTTCCTAAATGATGAGAGGAGGTGAATTAACATGGGCCACAGTAATCTCTGCTTGTGTCGGATGCACCTAAGTTGGTGGGTGCTAGGCTGATGGCTTCTGTGATAAAACAATTCAAAACCCCACTCCATGTTTCTCTTCTGAGTTCGCATAGCAAAATGTATTAGTTGGAAAACAAAAAGAAGGAAGAGAGAGGGAGGTAAATATTCAACTAAGCGATTGTTATGAAACATAGGGAAGCTGAACATCTTTAGGGACCCGGAAAAGGGGGGGGCGGATTTGCTTGGGGCGGGGC